TGCCTGCAGCTGCTGCTCAGGAATAACTTTCTTTTTCCTCTCTTTTCTTTGTGTAAACTTCTCTGTATTTCTAAAGTGAGTGTTGCTTCTCTTGCTGGGTGGAAGTTCACGTTTTCTGAATGTCCCTGTCTAACCTAAGTGCCCTAAAGTTCATTTTTCTCGATCTCAATGCCAAAGATTTGAAGCTGAGGGATTGGAGCATATATATTTTCCATGTCTCAAAGTATTCATGTCTTTGTTATCATTATATATGTAATTCTCTAGGACCTGGAGTTTTCAAAGTCAGTTTAAAATTCAGCCTTAATCAAATTCTGTCAAGTAAAAATGGAGTAGAGCTAAGTCAGGGGACGGTGCTGGGCTGTGCTCTGGAGCCTCACAGGTCCCCAGGGTGTCGCTGCCCTGAGGGCCTGCTGGGCCCAGGGCTGGCCAGCAGCAGCGCAGGGCTGGGGCGTGGGCTGCAGCTCTCTGTGGTCCTGAGCACACACCCTGCTCTCTGAACACGAGAAGGCTGAGCTAGACGGTCTTTAATTCTTTTCAGCTTTAAAACATGTTTTCCCAAAGCTGAACAAACTAACTTTAAAATGAACTTCCTTGGAGTGTTCTCTGAGCCCGCTACTCTCTTAGGCTCTGCTTCACCTTGTACGCCTTCCATGTTCTTACTAGAAAAAGGTTAAGGAATCGTCCCCAAACTAGTGAGGAGCAGAACTACCTTTAACCACAGATACAAATTAGATATTTATTCTAGGAAGCCGTGATTCTGCTGAAGAAAGAGGTGAAAACAAACAAAATTGCAACTAAACCAGCCCCAGATAAAGGATCACGGCCTCCAGGCCAGATATGTGTGGGCTCCTTTTGAGTCGCACAGAACTACACAGTGAATCAGCCACAGTCAGAAACAAAACACACTATGTCAGCCCCCCAGGCCAGTGACCTACTTTCTTCTGTAAACTCAGCATCTGCTGACCGAAGCCAAGGGTATGTGACATCCGTGAGTTACAACACGCGGGTGTGAACTATAGGAGCTTGTTTCCCTCTAGATCAGCGGTTCTCAACCTTCCTAAAGCCGCGACCCTTAATACAGTTCCTCATGTTGTGGTGACCCCCAACCATAAAATTATTTTCATTGCTACTCTATAACTGTAATTTTGCTANCTACTCTATAACTGTAATTTTGCTACTGTTATGAATCATAATGTAAATATCTTTTTGTTTTCCTATGGTCTTAGGCGACCCCTTTGAAAGGGTCATTTGACCCCCAAAGGGGTCACGACCCACAGGTTGAGAACCGCTGATCTAGATACTGACTGCCTAGTGACCATCGATGAACTCAGTGGGATGTTTAGTGAGAGGACGGCTTCCACCATGAAGGAAGGACATTGGCACTGCCCCTGGTGACACGTGAGGCAGGCCAGCTGGGGATTCCGTGGAGGAAGTTTGCAGGGAGTTCTCTGTACATGGCTTTCCTGGATTCTCTCTTCCTCAGGAGCAGGGGGCACTCAGGCTATTCCGCTCCTTCTCAGCCTCTCAAGAGTTCAGGGATCACTGGCGTAGTCTGTTTAGAAGCCCACAGACCTCTGAGCTCCAGTCTCCCCAAGGCCGGCAGCTCTTCCGGGCTTCCCTCCCGGCACCTCCAGGCCAGGCAGGAGAGGCCCTGCTCTGGTCACGTCTGCCAGGAGCCCCCAGGAAGCAGGGCCTCGCCTGCACCTGGCAGCCAAGTGAGAGACGGGGACGAGTCAGGTTCATTGTCCCAGACGCTGTTCCAAGTCCTTCCCGTCCCTCTGTGCAGCAGGCCGCAAAACCAGCCCAGAACGCGGTTCACGGCAAAGTGTGCCCTGAACATTGAAGTGGAAATGTGATGACACAAAACACTTAATTACCTGTGAAAACTACTGAATTCCCTGCCTGCTGAGGCTAACTAAGCGCAGGGCTGCCGGTGAGCAGGAAACGGGCCTGGGGGCCTATCTGCTGACTGGGATACAGACGCCCTCTGGCTCCTGCAACTCCCTGCTGGTCGTGACCTTTGTGCCCCCTCTGATAAACATGCCTACAGGAAAACACTCTCATTCCATACCTACTTTAAGAATTTTGTCATTTTCAAATTATTCTTTTTTGGTTCAGTACATATTCTACTCTTTTCTATTCAACTTCTCTGCACATCTTGTGATTTTTAAGCCTTTTGTCCATCAAGATACCCTACAGAATATGGGTCCCTTTTAAGACAGAATTATCAGTAATTACTCAATTTGGATAATCAGATTTGTTGAAACATGGCAGAATGTCTAAATATAAATTTAGCAGGTACACGTGCCCAGTTTTAACACCGCCATGCATATGATGCTATAATGAGCTCATAATGCAGTATACGCTTAGTCCACGTCTCCCCAACACCCCTGCCCGAGGCGGGTGAGCGGAACAAGACAGACTCTGTACTCGTGGGAGCTGAGCTTACCCAGTGAGTGCCCCACTGCATGCCCGGCTGACAGCAATCTGCAACGCTGTTACCACTGCGGCCTCGCTAGTGTGTGTTCCAGCAAGCAATTTTGACCAAAAAATGGCTACAAAAGGTATAAACATGGAAGTATTGAATCCGCTACAAAGAAATGAGGACAGGTGTTATTCTGGGTGTTATGATAAAGTTTTGTGGCAGCTGGAACGTGCCATCAAACAGTCATGGAAATAGGCTAGAGGCCAACGTGAAATGAGACTGATAGGAGCTCTGACGTTGTGGAAGCATCATTCATAAACATCACTGCAGACGGGGACAAGTGACTACAATTGATTGACTGGCAGGTAACCACATTACCCGTGGTTTCTCTTTCTGCGGTTTCAGTTGCCCACGTTCAACCATGGTCTGAAAATACTAAATGGAAAATCCCAGAAATAAACAATAATTAGGTTTTAAATTCTGTGCCCTTCTGAGTTGTGTAATGAAATCCCGCTCTGTCCCACCCAGAACATGACTCGTCCCTTTGCCCAGTGTCTCCATGCTGTAGACACGACCTGCCCCTTAGCCACTTAGCAGCTGTCTTGGTTATAGATGGACCATTTCGATATCGCAGTGCTGTGTTCAGGTCACCCTTATTCTACTTCCTAATGGCCCCAAAGTCATTCAAGTAACTATTATTACAGTGTATTTTATAACTGTTCTATTTTACTAGCTATTGCTGTTAGTCTCTTACTGAGCCTACTTTATAACTTAAACTTCCTCATAGGAACGTATGTATAGGGAAAAGCATAGTATATACAGGGTTCGGTTCTATCCGAGGTTTCAGGCATCCACAGGGGCTCCTGGAGCGTGTCCCCCTTGGATGGGGAGACACATATATTAGAAAAACTGCAGTGCAAGGGACAACCTCAGAGAGTTAAGACGTCGGTTCCCTCCAGTGGGCCCCTGCTATAACCCCCCATCAAGCGCTGGCTACCAGCAGTCACACTTCTAGCAGCATATGCTGCCTTCCTGCCATGGGACCTGTCTCTATACCCACTCAATTACAGAGGGAAAGGAAGAGAAGAGAGAAGGAAAATAAAGCGTTGCCTTTCATTTTCTCAGGGACACCAGCGATCTGGAACACCAACTAGCCAGAGGCTGCTGCTTCTCCTTTAGAATTACCCATTTTAAATCTTCAGCCACCTTAGAAAGTCGTTTGCAGCAATCACTTTGCAATTCAGAAGTACCAGGTATTATGTGGATGTGGGGCGAGTTAACAGTCCATGTTCGGTATGGGGAGCTCTTGGGACTCCCGATGACAAGTCCTGTGGAGCCGATGGTTCCTCCAGGCACCTCGGCAATGACCTTTAAAGTGTCTAGAACCACAGAAACCAGCAGTGGCCAGTGGAAGCACCAGATGATGTTGTGTGACCATCACTTGAGTGGCCTCTGTCTGACAGACTTCCATCGCCGTGGTCACCGCCCAGGGCAGCATCGCTCCTGGGGCCCTCGTGAGCCTCTGCTTTTCTCTGCAAACACTGCTGGCTTGTGAACGGCATGGATGTCCCCACATCAGCCTGGCACATACCCACTGGCATTCTCAGGCGTTCTGCAGGAGGCCCCACAGCTCACAAACGGTGACGTACATGAGTGAGCCCAGCACCTGTTCCAGAACCGTTCCAACCGGCCCTGCCGGTAACGGGCAGAAATGCTGGGCGTGCTTGTGGCCACAGACGTAGCTCGGTCATAGTGAGGCTGAATCAGGAGCTTCTCAAGGAGGGAAATGTCGTATAGTCACACGCCGGATCCGACCATGGAAGTATCTTCTTAGAAAGGTTTGCAGTGGGTTACAGAGTACATACAACGAGAATGTGGCTGGCTCTGAGCACGCCCAGTCACCACTGAGCAGGAACTCAAAGTATACATTCTAATGACAGGCTCTATTATTTTCATAAATCAAAAAGTACAGATTTCAAGTTATTTCACAAATCACGTGATAAAATGAAAATGGAAATGAAAGCACTTAGTAAAGTATCATATACATGTTTTTAAAAAGAAGTGCTATTTAAAAATAATTTACATGACACAACTTAGCAAAGAGTAAACGAAATCAGTACTAATAAACCAGAAAATGTGGAAAACTCATGAAAAGGCCAAGAGAAGTAAAAATAGAACATACTTTTCATCAGATTTAGAATTCGGTATATTGATGCTTCTCAAAGTGTACATAAAGTAACTTTATACTGCATTTAAGCAGTTTGAGAAATCCAAAACATTTTGTTTTATAAATAAATATACACTCTATGCCCAGAGGCAATATTTGGGCAACACAGAAAAACCCTGTAGGAATGTGCTGCTGCCATCAGTCTGGGATGCAGCGTTCCAGACGGACTGAACAAGGCGGGCAGTGCTTTGTACTGTTGGCAGAGAACACATCTGAACACCACTAACAAACTCAGTGCGCAGAGAGCATGGCTGTAGTGGACTGTCGTTTACTCAGAGGCTGGAAGTGATGGAGAGAGAAGTGCGTGCAGCTTTAGATTCGTCTTTGAGAAATAGTAAAGCCATACTATTTTTAGTAAAAACGGATGATTTTATTATATAAAATGATGGTTGGCAGAATACAGGAAAATTACTTCTCTTATCTTTACATATTTAATTTAAGTACCAAGCAAAATACAACAATTGGCAGAACTCATTACAAACTACCAAAAGGTATTCATTTGGTGAAATTACTCAAGTTACAAAATGTTAAGTAAATAAATGCACTTCAAAATATATGAAGTGTAACCCAAGTATGAAAGTAGTGATCTTAAATTAATGATTGCTTTAACAAAAACTAACCAACAAACAAGGAACACAGGAAAAGTTTGTCCAGTTAGAAAAGAATAAATCAAATGTATTGTTCATTGGATTATTACAGTAAAATCATTTAAAAAACCCAAAAGAACTAAACAAGTAATTAGGGTTCAAAAAAGAATAAGAATATTCCAAGAGCATACTTTTTTTTTTCCTACCCATAACAGAAGGAAGGATTTGGAGGCCAATTACGATCTGTGGACCCAGGTGCCTCTCAGATCGTCTGCACCGAGGTCATCTTGGTATGGACTTACAAATGAACTTCACTGTTACTCAAAGGTGAGAAAACGTATGCATTATGAAGGGAAGGAAACAATTACACCTGCAGTAGGGCAAAAAACTTATGCACTAAAATCATCAAACGCCACTCCAGCATAAGATTAGAACAACCTGCTCCCAAAGAATTATTTTGCACAGTAGTGAATCAGGGCGAAGGTTTTACCGTAAGGGAAAGGCAAATGGGCGTCTCTGATAAGGTGGAGTCTTCCAAGCCCAAAGTGAGATACCTGCCAGAAAACCTGCATTCCTATCTGTAACCTCAGTCGTAAAGAAAACACGCCATCGTTCAGTTCACAATTAAACTGTATTAAAAGTATACGGTGACAAATGAGTACATATGTCATGTGAATCATATGCCAGATTTCTGTGTGCTGCCCTCACAAGTGCTATTAATAAATACACCCGGTCCTGCTACACAGGAAGAACTGAGAGGCCTAATTTCACATTTCAGAATTCCTGAGTCTTATCAGAGAAAAACAAGTACTGAAGACAAACCTACTGCATAATAGGGCACGTAACACACAGCTGGGCATTACGTTAACATCACATTTACAGTTTTAAAGCTGATGACTATGGGGACAAATATGTATGTACGTCAGTGGAATTATAAACATGATTTTAAAGCTTGTTTTTTAAAAAGGCGTTTTGATCAGATAAGGCCACCTGAGTGACAATTTCAATGATGGTAAGCCCACCATTTTAAAGGAATAACATATTTATGTCAAAGCCTAATGAATATAAAAAGAAAAAGAGGTTTATTTTAAGAAAATGCTTCAGTAAGTCTGCAGTGGGCAGCCCTTCGATGAAAGGTCTAAGGAGAGGAAAGCCACGTGACGGGACAAGGACAGCCGCCACCCACCACATGCCTTCCCTTCTGCGCGCGTGACACAGAGGAAATGAAAGGTATCGTAAGAGCACTTGAGTCCCACCAGGTAGGATTGAAGCATGTGGACAGGTGTGAATAGCCCTGCGACAATTATATTCAACAGAAGTGAATGTCTGTTTCCTAACAAGTAAGGAAAGGGAAGCAGAGTGGTCCCACTTAGAACAATAAAACCAAACCAAAGCACTGTTGAGCCTTTCTGGAAAGTCGAGGAAAGTAAACGACACCCTTGTTACACATTTAAAACTGCATACTTTTCCCCACCTTTGTAGTAGGAAAGATGCACACAACGATTCATGGACTTCATAAAGCACTAAGAAAAATATTTGGGCTGTTCCTCTGTTGAGAAGTACCCACAAAGGAAATGACGAGGAAATGCTAAAGTGCAGACCTACAGACCGTGACGGGTGTGGTGAGTGACGAAGGGGTGCCCCAAACTGCGTCCACATTTGCACTCACATGTCCAGAAAATGATGCTTTAAAAACTGTGCAATTTAAAACTAGTCAGTTGTTTGTGCCGTCAGACAAGCAGGACGTGCCTCTGCCCATGAGGGAGGGGGCGCACGCGAGCTCGCGACACTCACACGATGTTGATCCCTCCTGTAGACAGCGTCAGGGGCCGCTTGCTGTGGAGCAAGGTGCTGCTTGTGTCGGCCTGGCTGCCCATGGCCAGCGAGGTTTTCAGTTCCGTTTCACAGGCGGCGATGGCTGCGTTCAGCTCCACCTGAGCTCGGTGAACCACATAGAACATGAGGCCTATGCTGATGATGACCTGTGAGGGACATGAATGCCACGTTACTGCTGACACGGAACGAGGAGAGAGACCGTGAGACGTGTGGCTTGGCAGTGTTTTCAGCAGGATGCGTTGCAATATGCTCAGGTAAGGTTTCTAAATGGTGTACACAGTTGTCATTGATTCTTTCCTCGGCTGCTCCTGCCGGCAGTGTGGGGCCAGAACGTACAGGTAACTAGTGCATGGTGTAGGCATACCTCCTGTCATCCACATAAGGGACATGTGCGTGACAAAAGTCAGACTCGGCTCTGGGTACTAAAAAGCTTCCTTCAAGGACTAAACGGGGTGTACAGTAGAGGGAATGCCACTCAAAGGGACACCAAGGGAAGCACCAGAGCAAAGCCGGCCAGGCCGGGTGCAGCCACTCCACAGAAATGGCCCGGTGAGGTCCCGGGAGCCCCATGGGCCTGGCTCCCATCCTGCAGCGGGAGCTCTGGTCACTCTGTGCTCTGCCAGCCTGCACAGTTCATCAGACGGCCTCAGGACTCCCACCCAGTAAGTGGAGCTTATTCCAAGGGCCATGTGGAAATCACCTCTCTACAGTCTAGAGCAAATACTGTCAGTGAAACAGGGCAGCACGGGTGATGTGTGATGTCCCAGCAGGTTTCCAAGGCTGCTGGGACCATAAGTGACCCTAAAATAGGACTTCTATTAAGCCTACCTGTAACTTTAAGTTTTTTTGGGGTAGTACCCTAAATCCAGGTGTTGAGGGTAGTGGAGGAAGGGGTCAGGCCGAGCTTCCTGCGGGTGAGGTAGGTATGGTTGGGGAGAGGGGGGGCACTTGGAATTTGGTCAAGTGGCACCTTTAAGTAATACAATTCTAAGCAAATTAGGTATTTGAAAGGTGGGCCTCTGAATCTTGTGTTTGTTCTCTAACATTCTGGCTCTCTTAGAAAAACACGATATACTTGGTTTTCACCCTAAGTTTAATGCTGATCAGGGCACAGTGATACCACGCAGAGACGGGGAAAGTGTTAGCACTCATGGGAGGAGGGCGTGGGTGAGACGCTGCGTTCCTCTTCAGACGTGCTGGGTCCCAGGGGCGTGTGAGACGTGCACAGTAGTTCCAGGAGTGGGGCCGAGCTGTGGAAAGAAGGGGGTTCCGACACAAACACTGGAGAGCAGGCACCATGATGATAGATTTGCCGAGAAGGTTTCAGAGCGAGACAGGAAACTTAGGCTAGACTCTGGGGGACACTGACTGAGGGTGAGTAGAGGAATAGATTCTGGTAAATGAGCCGGGCGTGTGGGAAGGGAAATGTAGACAGTGGCACCACAGAGCTAAGGGAAGAGGCGTCTTGGTAATGAAGGCATGTCAGCAGAGTCTGTGGTGACAGCTCAGTGTGACAGCTTGAGGGGAGGATGTGGCAAGGCCTAGAGAGTAGGCTGGGACTAGTAGAAAGCCTTCTGGGCTCCCAGCCAGGGTGGGGCGGCAACGTCTACGTGGGCTTTTCCCCAGGTGTCCTTCTGGGCCGCAGGTCCTGGCACTTGGTTCTTGCTCTCCTCAACACGCCCCCTTTCAGAGCCCAGTGGTACAAAAGAGTGTTTTAAGTTTCCCTAAAAACAAAAGAACCAAATACAGTGGAAGGACAGCCTTACACAGAAAGACAGGCACCTCTACAGTGTGACCTGGAAAGCTGAGCAAGTCACGGGAGGGTTGGGGGGGGGTCTTTGATGGAAATCGAGGGGTTTCCCATGGAAGACTTCTGATGGTTCTGTTAACAAAGAAGAGAGTCTGCGGAGAGCAGAGAGGGAGGTAGAGGAAGGAGCCAGGATTGTGAGGAGCGTGAAGGTGAGTTTGCAGAAGTCATGAGGAAGATGGGGAGTCAGAGGAAGGACAAAGGACAGTGGGACGAGGGGGCTGTGTTGAGAGACCAGCTGTAGGCTGGTCTTGGATGAAATTCAGTGTCGCCAATGTGTTTGGCCATATGACTTCCCCAAAGGAGCGGGCGTGGCAGATGAAGACGTGGATAGACCCAGGACTGGGGCTCTGGCTGGGGGCCAGAAAGTCCAAGGCACGGAGGGTAACTGAACAGACAGCCCGGGGAGCTAAGCTGGACTCTGTACAGGTGGTGGCTGTGCCTGCTCTGAAGGCTGTGTGATGGAGTTTAATTTTACAGACCCTGATTGTCTTTAGCGGGCTGTGACACGGAGGCAAATCTGCAGCTAGTTCCCAGCCAACAGAGGAATGTCGTGAAGACCCTCACTCTGCCTCTGTAACCTAAGCTCCACCGCTGTCCTTCGCTAACCTCCCCTCTCTTCATTCCTCCCTGTCTTCTGGAAGACAAGTGAAGTCCTCCCTGAAACAAATTAAGCTATAAGTCACATCAATAGAGCAAATCAAGGCATAAATATGTCTTCACTTTTTTTTCATGGTGGTTAGGGTGGTTTTTCCTAAACGCCTGGGTGAAGAAATACTTGCCTTTTCTCCTGTTTTGTGTCCTGAGATTAAATCTGCCAGCTCAGGCAAAGAGGTAAGAACTCGGCGGGAAGAGAAGACAAATGTTGGAACGACTCTGTTCTGTTATAACTTCAGTGATAATAGCTGAGTAGTTCACTGAGACGCATAGAAAGTATCACAAAGGGGAAATCGTCTGAAAGCTACTAATAATCAGGAATTCTAACTACTCAAACATAAAGTAAGGGAAAAAGGGATGTTTCAAATGGAGTACTCATTTTCAGGAAACTAGAAAAACATAAAATATGCTTACATATATACTGAAAATCTGTGAATGCAGTGTATACCAGTCTTACCGAACATCTCAGGATGACTACAGACAAATTATTTCATAGATATAATGCTTAGGAAGTTTAATATGTGGTTAGCATACTACATTAATAAAACAAACCAAGTATAATTAAAAACTCTAAACCTAGATTCAGGTTACCTAAAAAACATGTTGTTCTGAAGAAAAAAAGAGTAAAGACAAAAAAACTGACTCCCCGAATTTGAAAAATCTTACACAGTTTTTCTTGATAGGCCCTTTTATTGGCAAGCTGTATTTATATTTCACTATAAAACCCTGGGGTTATTGTTGACAAAGCTTGTACTGCAGAGCCAGAGGAGATGACTCTGCTTTATCGCAGCATTTTTAGTACAATGTGATACCTCAAAAACTTGAGAATAATGCCACCCACAGAAAATCTGTAGCATGGTACCATATACTCAATAGCAGTGTAAATTAAAACTAACAAGTAAGGGCCAGTGAGTTAGGCCTGCGGTCTTGTTAGTATGTCTGCTCAGGGACTGCAGTCTTCTGCTGTGAGCGTGGTCTCTAGAGACAGCTGCCTTGGCCCCAGCTCTGCTCCCTCCGCAGCTGTGACTCCACACAGAGCTCTGTCCACAGAGTGCTGATAAAACAGCTCTGGGGATCAGAGGTGGGAATCTGGACTTGGAGCACAGGCCATTCTCCACGGTGTCAATATTTCCAACTTGATCAATTGCAAGCTACCAATGGAACGTCACTGAAGGAAGAGTTGGGAAGAGATGTCCCCAGTGGGCTTGAGATAATGAAGTACACGCCTCCTAGGGCTTTGGTGGGGATTAAATGGGCTTAAAGATACGGCACAGAAAGCACTCAGTAAAGGTCAGCTTTCATCATCATCTTACTAAACCATTAAAACTTAAGGTAAGCCTCAGGGATAAAATGTATCCCAACTAAGGAAATAAATGTTTGACTCTTCCTGTATACAATTTACAGGCACTGAATAAATCTGCCCACATAGCAGGGCTTTCCTCTTTTATCAGCCTCTTATATGGCCTTGTATGTACCCCAAGCTGTACTATGATTTGAATGGTAGTAATAATCCATTATACAAATCTGATTTAGATTCGTATTGGAATACTTTACTTTTTATAAAGCAGTACTTTCTAAAAAAAAAAAAAATTGTTCTACATCAGTACCAGAAAAAACTTTACATTGCCAATATAATATTCTAAAAACTATCAATAGAATAATTCAATAATTTGAAGATAAAATAACTAAGATAAAAACCCAACCCCACCAAATCTCACTAAAATTATGTTTAGAAACACAGTATTAAACCAATTCATATTAACTCAACATAGAGTATTTGATTCAGCGATGACTCTGAAAGTAATCACTGCAGAAAGAACCTGATTTTTGTCACTCCATGTAAGGGAATTTTCAGTGAGTGTCAATTCAGTTCTTCACTTCCATATAGCCACACAATTAAAAATGTAAATGTTGTCAAAATATGAAGTATAATTGATAGAACAAGAAAAGACATAAAAAAGGAAAATCCTCTAAAATCATTTTCAGTAAAATCTGTTAGGTTTAAATCAGCAATGTCATGTAAAAAGAAAAAAGGACAACCCTTGGCCTTAAACTCACCTGTAAACAAAAAACGAAATATCCGCTGACGCTCTGCTCTGCAATGACGTCCTCCATTGTCCGCAGGGTGGTACCCAAGTAGGAATTCAGGAGCTGGGTGGGAAGCAGCCCCACGGAAGACGCCATCAGGTAGCTGGGCAGGGAGATCTCCGTCATCTGGAAGAGCAGACAAAGGGGACGATTTGTCACCAAGGAGAATTTCAATCTCACATAAAACCGTGTGTAGTGGTTTTTCCTAGGGAGAAGAGAGAACTGAAATGCTTTACAAAGCATCTGATTTGAAGAAATGATTTTAAAGGCAGTGCATGTAGAATTCAGGTTTAGAATGAAATAAAGGTTAAAATTGTTTTGAGAATTCTGTTCTGCCATTGAAAATTAATATTTGTGACTAAGTCCTCATGCCATTAAATATTCTTCATGAGCAGACAGCTGGCACTGTGGTCGCTGGGCCTTGTAATCCTGGAACATTCTGGCTGAGAACCCAATCAGTTCCTTTTTCTCTGAGGATCAGGTTTTCCTCTGTAAAATGAGGATGATAACCGCCACCTCACGTGGTTGTTGTTAGGATCACAAACATTTGTACATCATCTAGTAGATGCCTAGCACGTGACCCAACACTCAAAAAAGGTAGAAATGCTTCTTATTTTGTAGTTACCCTTCCACTGTGTGGGTGAACCTTCTGCAGTGGAACATTTCAATTGCTTCCTTATGTGTTGGTGTGTATGTGATTACATGTTTCTTTTTCTGCCATTCTAAACAAAAACCTGTGACGAAAGCCTGTGTGTACCAGCCTGCACAGGAGGCAGTACCTACAGTCTCTCACAGCCCGTGCCCGGTGGCATGCCCATGCCCGGTGGCATGCCCGCGCATGGCCATCCCCGAGCACGTGGACTGCACTTAGCGCTCACTTCTAGCGAACAGACTTCAGCAGTAATGAGGTGTTCCTTTCAGGACTAGGTCACAAAAACCAAGACGGCGTCTGTCCCTCGAGCATGCTGGTGGTAGCCCTGTGCAGAGGCCCATGTGGCAGGAGCCGGTGTCCTCAGCCGGCAGCCACCAAGGACCAGAGGCCTACAGGAAGTGACCGTCTCCAGCCACCGCCCAGGCCCCCAGCTATGCCGCTGGGAGGAGGTAGAGATCAGTGCTTCAGCTACTGGCTTTAGAGCCATGTTACACTGCAAAGAGTGACTAATAAGTATGTGTGTCCACTGCTTTAGGATAAACCACTGGGGAGTGAAATTATTGGGCCAAACACTGAAACTTCCCAAAAAGTCCACAGCTATTTTCCACACCTCTCAGTAAGTCATGCGTACGTGTCCATTTCATCAGACGCTTGTCAACTTTTAAGTATGAAATTCCAAGCTCTCTTAGTTTGTTAGGGGTAAAACTGGTATTTCATCATTGTTTAATTTGTACTGTTTTGTTTTTGTTTTTTTGGGGTTTTTTTAAAGATTTTTATTGGGGAGTTGGGGGGATGGGAACAGTGCTGGGGAATTGGGGGAAGGGGAACAGACAAGTTGCTGTCGTTTTGTTCTTCAATCTAGCTGTGGAGGACGTTGCTTCACTGGCCCAAGTTGGCACCAACATTGCGCTCTTCCCGGGCGAGGCAGATCAGTCACCGGCTTCTGGACGCCACTCATGCTGGCTGCTGGCTACACATGGTAGCCCATGGCAACCCACTGCAACAGGGGCTGCAGCCTACGCCATTGCCGGCGACTCATGGCAGCCCAGCTCCAGGTTGAGCTGTTGTTCAGCATCTTAGCTGTGGAGGGCAGTGTAATTGGCCCTCATATATGGGATCTGAACTGGGGCCCATGTGGGATCTGAACCGGGGCCCTCTGGCATCCCAAGCCAGTTCTTAACCATCGTGCCACTCGGCCGGCCCTAATCTGTACTGTTTTAACTTATGTTGATACTAGTTTTAAATACACATTTTTCTATTTGTATTTCTTTATGGCTTTGTTCACATTTGCCCATTTTATTGGAATGTTAAGTGCTTTTCTTATTTATTCATAAGAGCTCTTTATATATTAAGGGCAACCTTTTGTCTATTATATGTGGCAAATATTTTCCTCTATAATGTTCCTTATCTTTTGTTTGAAATATTATCAATCTTTCCCTCTGATTTTTCCATTGCTTTTACTTTAGAAAGTCTTTTTAGATCCCATTGTTGTTACCTGTATTTCTTTTCTGATTGCATTTTCCTTTTTAACATTTAGCACTTAAGTCCTTCTAGAATTTATTCAGATTAAAGATGAGGATATAGCCTTATTCATCCCCTTCCCCAATAGCCTGTTTTCTTAGATTACTTATGGAATAATTAATAACTTCTTTAGTGACTTGTTCTAAAGAAGTAACTGTATATAAAAGGATCTATTTGGGGCTCTAATATTGTCCATTAATATCTTAAATCTTATATTGAAACCAAATTATCAGTAAATATTTGATAAGGAATTTCCCATCCTTCAAACCCCTTCATTACTCCTCTTTTTAAATATGCCACAACTATTCTTACCTATGTATTCTTACAGATAAATTTTAGGATCACTTTGTCATTCAAAAAGAAAAAAATAGTCAATTTTCTATTGGGGTTAAGGCAGATTTATGAATTAATCTGGATAGAACTGAAATCTCCAGAATATTCAGTATTCTTATCCAAAAATGTTTCTGTAATTTCTCAGAATCTTCTACACCTCTTACTCAAGTTTGGTGGTTTTATTCTTATATATCATGCATTTCTTACTCGTTTACTTCTAAACTTTTATATTGTGGTTGTTGCTACTGCTGTTAATTTTGAGAATAACTTTTCCAAGTCCCCATCTAGTTATCACTAGTATGTAAGAAAGCTGCTGGCCACTGTACTAACCTTTTCTTTCTGTTTTGCATTAAAGAGTAAACAGGGATTAAAATTAGCTTTAGGAATAGGGGCCAAAGGTGATCTTGTGGAAGAACAGGCATTTGAAGTGGACTCGGGAAGCTAAATCTGGGTTTGGCAGGCACAGACAGTGCTGAGGAAGGGAAGGCGTTCCAGGAAGAGACTGGAGGAGGACAGTGGGCGAGGGCAGTGCAGGCTGTGCTGGCGAAGCTGCAAAGTCCAGATGGATGAGTCCTCGGGCCTCTGCTGTCTACACTCAGCAGAGGAGCACTGGGGAGTCCAGCCAAGGTAGGGCGTGACTGGGTGAAGTTTTAGGAAGGTTCCTGTCAGTTTGGAGAACTTTCTTTAGAATAAACATGTCAAACATATAAAAACAAGTACATAAGACAAAAATGAATCTTATAAAAAGTATTATATTACAGTTAGTAATAAAGCATTATGTGTTTTGAAAGTCATCTTTAAAATAAATATCTAAGTTACAAAATGTCAGAATGCAAAGAATGAGTCCATAGTCTTTAAATGTAATGAAGTTTCTCTAAATAGTTAAAAAATACCTTCTTTATAGAGTTACGGCAAACTATAGGTTTATAATTTTTACTCATTCAACAAAACTTTATCAAATGCCTTCTATATACGTAAGGCCCAAGTCTAAGCAGAGGTAAAGATACAAAGATAGAAAACCATAGTGGCCTGCGTGGTCACTTTAAATCATTTTGTAGTATATTTACTGACTATAATGTTCATTACAATCAGTTAAAATGTCACAAAAAATCATAACAGTTGCAATGGATGTAAGAAAAGCACATGCACTGACAAATGCAAATACTAGAGAAACTAAATATGTTAGAGAAATAATCTAAAATGTTAGTGATAGTTTTCTTCTTTGTACTTGTTATACTTTGCAGCGTTTTTACAATGCTTGTTTTGTAGACAGAAAAAAGAAATAGTTAAAATAAGTTTTAGTAAGCCCTCTCTGCTTTTAAAGTTTTGTTTTGTTTTGTTTTTTTAATCTAGTTAGGGGTAAAAAGACATACTGTGTATGTTACTATGGTACAATAGGCTAGAGATACAGACTTGTGACTTGTCAGCCCGTACGTGGCACATAGAAGCCACAGAAGCTGATGAGATGAACTGATTAACTGAAGAGGCACAAAGAGAGGAAATCAGTTTCGTGGAGTAGACCAGCTGTGTTCAGTGGTCCCATGAGGTCTCAGGATGTGGGCTGAGGGGGCATCACATTCGTCAACTTGGTCATCATTTCTGACCTTTCAGTTACACCAAGCTCCTTCAAAACACAGACTGTGTCTCTATCTTTCTGTTTCTTCTGCACTGACCACTGGCTGCACATCAGTCTACTCGAATAGTAAGAAATGACCAGGAGACACCCTTGGTATAATGAGCATCACGACCCACCCTCTGTACTGGAATCTGTGGTTGGATATGTAACACAGAATAATCTCTGAAGATGAAAAAAACATTTATATAAAACATACTATTACCAAACTGTTGAAGGAAAAGGTAGCGGTGATGTTGCTGCTCAGAACATTGTCTTTCTAAAAGCACGCTGAGACCTTACCTAACCTCTCATTTTATTTTTTTATTTTTTTAATTTTTAATTTTTTTTTTTTAAGATTTTATTGGGGATCGGGGGAAGGGGAACAGACAAGATGCTGTTGTTTTGTTCTTCAGTCTAGTTATGGAGGATGTCGCTTCAGTGGCCCAAGCTGGCACCATCATTGCGCTCTTCCCGGGCGAGGCAGACCAGTCGCCGGCTTCTGGACGGCCGCTCACTGCGGCTGCTGGCCGTTCACACTGGCTGCTGGCTACATATGGTAGCCCATGGCAACCCACTGCCACAGGGGCTGCAGCCTATGCCGTCACCGGCGACTCACGGCAGCCCAGCTCCAGGTTGAGCTGTTGTTCAGCATCTTAGCTGTGGAGGGCAGTGTCACTGGCCCTCATATGTGGGATCCGAACCGGGGACCCCTGGCATCCCAAGCCAGTTCTTAACCATCGCACCACTCGGCCGGCCCCTAACCTCTCATTTTACAAAGATTGCAAGCCGGGTCATTAGAAGGGACCAACCATGAGGCTAAGGCTTTACCATGTGTGTCTTAGTCACTAGCCAGTCAGAAACTTTTATTTAATTGTAATAATTTCAGTTTGATTATGAACTAAATTACTAAGAGTAACTTGGGCTCTTCTTGACTACTCAATACAAGCTCAATGACAATTCGTTAGGTGGTATTTGCTTCAAATCTATCTTTAATCATCCTTTGCG